CTTGCGTTCTGTTCACTTTTATGGCCACAGCTTTCACAGTACAGGTCCTCTTTAAAGGAAAAGTACAACCAAAGCCGGTTTGGATTTGGATCACAAGAGTGCAGGTTGTTTGATTACAGAGCCGGTCGAGGCTGGGGAAATATCTCAACTTCAAAGTTGGGATCCACTCAGATCTCTGGACTGGCACCTGGCTCAGGTACTGGGAGCCTGAGCCAGCTGCTCCTACCCCCTCCACAGGTGGTGGTGGTGGTTAATAGGCAGTAGTCACCAACAGTCACTGCTCTCTCCTCAGAGCGGCAGGGAGAACTGAGCGATCAGAGGTTATGTGATCACTCAGTTCTCACCCTTAGAGCTGGCGAGGGACAGATGCAACATCAGACTGATGCTGCATCCATCTACGCAAGTATGGTTTTAAAATAAAAACAAATCCCAGATGTCTGTTTTAATAGTAGTTGAGATAAAATATCAACCACATAGGGAGTACATTGTTGTCAATAAGTGGATCAACAGCAACCTTCATCGAAAAAGCAAAAACACATACCACTGTGAAGCAGTGCAAAGCAGGATGCCTTAATGTAAATAAATAAATACAAATAAATTACAGTGGTTGATGTAGTCAAGACAAATAGACTATGCACTTTGCAAGTGCAATTGCATTAATTTTCCCCAGAACTTATTGAATGTGGTGAAGATCTGCTGATTTCCATCATCCAATCATGTGCATGCAATAATTCTGTTTTTAATAGATTTTTCCTTGCACTTGATTGGGTATTTGTTACAAAGTAAAGGTTCACCACATTCACTAAGCACTGGAGAAAATGAGCGTAGTGCACAGTGTATTTGCCTTGAGTAAGTCAACCCCATAGAAAGAAGGGTTATGAAACAATAGCATGCAATAATAAAACACTCTACATTTGCTTTAGCTTGCAATCACTTTTACTTTTGTTTCAGTTCATTCTATGTAGGTCTTTTTTTCTGATTGTGGCCAGATGCAATCTAGCAATCCTTCCAGGATGACTCCCTGGGATACTCATTCGCAGACATTTGTCTGTTTATGTTATTTGGCATGACTGTGAGCGCTTACTGTAGCTGGCAGCGGCAGCTCAAGATTGCCTTTGTGAACACAGCCTTTGGGGTTGCTTGCTGAGCGGTTCCTGAAACACCCACAGCATAGTCCTTATCTACTGCCAGTGGGATAATTACAAGTTTAGTCAGGAATGCAGCTGTGCAGAAGAGCCTTTCAGTACATACAATTTTGGTGTAATTTGAGGACATGGCTATGTAACTAGACTGTACCACTGCTTGTTAAAGGTTTATTTCATTTAGCTGGCTTTTAGTATCAACTATAATAAAAGTCAGATCTGATCATGGTCAGCCCCTTAAAAACAAGATATCCACCCTAAGCTTGGTTAATAGTAACTTAACCACTTGCCCTCCTGAGGATTTACCCCCCTTCCTGACCAGGTCATTTTTTGCGTTACAGCGCTGCGTTACTTTAACTGACAATTGTGTGGTCATGCAACGCTGCACCCAAATGAAATTGACATCCTTTTTTTTCCCACAAATTGTGCTTTCTTTCAGTGGTATTTGATTGCCTGTGCATTTTTTATTTTTATGCGACAATTTTGAGAAGAAACAACTATTTTTTTGAATTTTTGCTATTAAACATGTCCAGTAAAAAAAAATAAAAAAATCAAATTTCCTCATAAATTTAGGCCAAAATGTATTCTGCATCATGTCTTTGCTAAAAAAAATCCCAATATGTGTAAATTAATTGGTTTACGTGAAAGTTATAGCGTTTACAAATGGCGGTATAGATACTGGAATTTTTTTTGTACTTTTACTAGTAACGGTGGGGATCTGCGACTTATGACAGGGCTGCAGCGGGCATTCTGACACTGGGGGGGAACTGACTTGGTGTCACGGACATCCCCACTGACACCAATACAGTGATCAGTGCTAACAAAAGCACTGACACTGTATTAATGGCACTGAGCATGAAGGGGTTAATATGAGGGGCGATCAAAGGGTTAACTGTGTGTTGTGTGCTGTTTTACTATGTGCTGTGTGTTGGTGCTTCACTGTAAATCACACTGCTTTGCATGGCTGTGCTGTGAGCAGCCATCCAAAGCAGTGTGCACGAGCTGACAGGAAGGAGAACTGTTTTGTTTACAAACAGTTCTCCTTCCTGTTGGAGATGCTTGGCAATCACTGGGCGCCAGCGAGTAATCATCGGCTGGGACCCGGTGATTGGCAGCCGCAGCTGCGAATGGCAGTGCTTGTAGGGCGCGCTCGAGCCCCCTACCTGGAAATGCAAAATCATGTATATATAAGTGGTTTTGCACACCCGTGCTGCTCTGTAGCAGAATATCTGCTATAGAGTGGTCAGGAAACGGTTAAAAGACAAAAAGTATCATGTTATGCTTTGCATTTACAGAGGCTAATATGCCAGCTTCTTTAGTGCTTGTGTGGTAATGGAACAGGGTTAGCACTGGATGGGTAAAAGCCAGGGTGATAAAAGAGCTGCTTCTTCTGCTATATCAAATCAGTTGTTCAGCGGTCTAATATAGTTTTTTTTTTCTGATGATGTTTCACTGTACGGTGTTACTTGGTTCCTACTTGCTTTTAAATTTCTCCACCAATGCAATTTTTTTTACATTTCAATATCTTATTTACTGTAGGTTCTTTGTTTTTGTTTTTGCTTTCTTTTTTTGTTGTTTTTTTTTTTTTACTATGTAGAGAATGTTATTACTTTGATCAATACAATGTAGTTAAAACAATTTGAGAGATTTCTTTATTTTCTCTACATTTATTTGTCACAAAGTGGATATTGAGTATTGCTTTGCATAATCCTTTATATTGAGATTGATTGATTATTTTAAAAAAATAATTTGTTTATATATAAATTATTTACAGTATGAATTTATTGTAGATATATTGATGAACAGCAGGGATTACTTACTGTAAGGGAATCTGGCTTTGACATTAAGTGCATAGCTCAGACCCCTCTGCTGTGTTATTATGCCCTGTATCAGCACTTTTAGGCAATGTGCAATAAGGTGTAGGTCCCTTTTATGAGTGACCCTGCCCGGGAGTTGCCAGGGAGCACTGCATATCCATAATTTCTGTTTACCTGGTAGTAAATAAGGCCCATTGGGCAGGTGTTGGGATGCAGTGTGCAAGCAAGTGCTTATAGGGTGTAAATATACTGTAAAATTTTTATCATGTTGGAGTACCTATGAGAATCTGTCATTAAAATGTGAACTATTTTGTGTAAAGTGAAGTGTGTTTGCAGGCTGCCTGAAAAGTTAGGACAAAGATTACCGACTCCCAGGTATTCATGGTCTTGCCCTTTTCTGTGGCCCATAAATACAAGGGGAGGTAATATTTCTGTCTTTTCTTTTTGCCACCACTTGGGAACTAGCCAGAGAGGTGCTACATGATGTAACTTCCACTTAGGGGTGTCTCTCCCCTTGAAAGGGTACCCAGTTGGGGTGCTGATGAAAACTAATTGATTTTATGGACTGCTCTGCTTGAGGTATGAGATGGCAGCCTGAATAGGAAGCAGCCTGAATGGGGAATAGAGATAGAGAAAAAGAACTAACTGTACAGAGACTGTGTGCTGTATCAACTGAATGCTTAGTAAAGAATCTAAGTTAACTGTAAAGTGCCTGGTCTAAAGTTTTTTTAAAGGGGTGCATTCAGGTACATGGCATATCCAAAGAACTGGGCTTGTAACACAAAAAGGGGATGAAGAGGAGAAGCTAGGGAGCCACCATACGGGGTTGATGCTGTGCAACGGAGTTTGCAGGACGATGGCTAACATGCTGTTGCTATGAGTAATCGGGACCAATGAGAATGGTATTGTAGGCAGCCAACGGGAGGGTGGTACCAAGCATGGGTAATGGTGACCCCTGGTAACGAAGGGGTTGGCGAAGTTACCCCCTTCTTAGTGTTCAGTGCCCCACCTGCATCCAGGACTGATATTGCAGCACAGGGAATCTATGGACCTAGCTGGAGGTACTAAGAGAGAGAGGGAGAAGTGGATCCACAAGGAGATAACGCTGTTCTACATTGTCACTGGAAGTGACTTCGCGGTTTCCCCTCAAAATGCTGTATTCGGGAAGAAATGTGCACAATGTTAAGGGAAGAGTGCTTCACAGTAAAGTGCTTTGTGTATTAGGTGTATTTGTGCAAGGCAAATGTCTCGCTTCTAAATTAGGATGCTGCCTTAATGTTGATTATTGCACGACCACAGCCCCGCAGCTGTTCCCTGGACATTAGCGAGTGCGTTCAGAAATTGGTCTCCACATAGGGTGAGAAGGCCCCGCTCACAACTGGACTAGACCTTGAGAGAGGAGATGGATCGTGTAGTCCTGTGTGAGGAGCAAGATGCTACTCCCTCTTGCAGAAAAAACAGAATTTTTTACAGATGGGCAGATGTGGGTACTAAGGATTTCCATCCACTATGTATTCCCAAGGAATGTGAAGTATACCCTGTTGTGGAAATATGAATGTGTTCATTTGCATTGCTGAAGAATTGTGTTTTATGTGTTCCTACAATGTTAGCGCTCAGTATGTTGAATTTATTTTGACCATATTTCAATTAAAAAGATATCTTCTGCCCTTGACTTTTCTATGTTTTCAAGATCTTCCAATAGAGGATCCTGTGCAGGTAATAGTGAGTTAAGCACTTGTTGATTGGACTTGGTGTGACAATGTAGACTAATCTGGCTCTGTCAAGTTGAAGGCTCATTAAGCTCCAGTGGGATAGTTGAAGCTGGCCATACACTACAAATTTCAGTTCACGGTGAACTGATTGAAATTTGCTTCCTGACTGACTCTGTTGGCTCCCCCTTCTGTCTGACCTCCTTCATTAAAAAAAAGGAGCCGAGCAGAAAATTGTTGGCTGGACAGCAGCTACAACCAGTCAGATACAGCTACTGTTTGGGTTTTCTGACAGTCACTGCCACCCAGCAGGATGATTCATCCATCTGCGCTGTATAACATGGATGGAGGAATCTGTTGGATTTTTGCTGAACAAAAAAAATCCATAATTGAATTGATCAGTGTATGGCCAGCCTTTTGAGAACCTGAGGAGCTCCAGATGAATAAGTTGAGAGGCTGCTGTGTGGACCTGTGGTTGGAGTTTCCCCCACAGACGAGAAGAAGAGTCCTAAGTTCAGGAAGACTGTTATATAAAACTGCATTCAGAGGTGAGTGGGGGGAAGGAGCGCTAAGACGCATCTACCCTGTGTGCGTTTGGGTGTGCGTTTGGGGATGGACCATCAGCATTGGGGGTTAATAGAAGGTCCATGTGGAGGTGGTGTCCAAGTCCATCTGTAGTGAGGGGCTTGTAGTAGTACGGACTTGTCCGAGGAGGCAGCCGGCTGTAAGAGCTTCTCCTAAATAGATTCTCCTAATGCAGGTAGAGAAGAGAGACAGCAGCGCCACTCTAAGTGTAGACTGTTAAAATCAGGCAGATTTAATGGTAAAATTGCACTCGCATAGATAGGTAACAGGAAGGAATGTCAAGTGATGGAGGTCCAGTGGGAGCATCAGGCCCTTTGGCCACGCTCTGGGTGTTTTCCCGCAACTCTGGTGGTGTCCAGGGCTCGGGGGTTAGCAGAGGGGCACAGGAAGGCTAGCAGGGGTGATGTCATCGCATGGACCCGTTTTCCAAGATGGCGCAGGTTTGGAGCATGCTCACTCCTTCATCAGGCTGAAATGAAGGAGTGAGCATGCTCCAAACGCACACCATCTTGGAAACCCAGTCCATGCAGTGACATCATCCCTGAGAGCCTCCCTGCATCCCTATGCTACTCCCCGAGCCCTGGACACCATCGGAGCGGAGTGGTGCTGCTGTCTCTCTTCTCTACCTGTTATATAAAAACTGAACTGAGTTATTATGCAAGTGTACAGCATAGTGGTGCCAAGTTTTGTCTGCTTTGCAAAAGGTGGCCCCAATACGCCTTGCTTATAAGTAAGTGCACAGGTCCCTTCAAAGTATTTAGCTGCTTTGTTTTGATCAGCCATTGTCATTGTGTAAAATGCCAGCTATGCATCATTTGTATGTATTGTGGCTACAGTCTCACAAAGGACCCAACAAGCTGTGTGACATTTGCAGGTTTCTCAGCATGACTGAGCTCCACTATAGTATCCATGCATATTTGCGTTTTAATTCAAGTGACAGTAATATGGCATAATAGAAGTTAAAGCTCTACCAATGTTGAAAAATGTTACCAGTATTTTTAGTGGGCAGTTTTTTTTTTCTTTTTACTTGCAGATGTATCAATGAACGGAATTGATAGGTAAAAAGTAATTTATTGTAGGAGGAATACACATATTCTTTGCGTATAGGGAGACAGGTTAACAGTCCCTGCCAGCTTTTCAGCTGAAGCTCAGACCCACTAGCTTCTATGGTGATTCCTCAACTGCACATTCATCGAACCCGCTCAATTGTATTTTCATTGAGAGGTGCAGTCCTGCTTGTGGCTGTGTAATAACAGCCTTGGCATCATTTTGATATCTTGTGTAATTAAACCTTCTAATGCTAATGCAATTGCTTTCTGTAACCATCATGAGTTTCTTACACCTCTCTACTGGAATTTCGAACCACTCTTCTTTCACCAACTGCTCCAGGTCTCTCAGATTGCAATGGTTCCTTTTCCTAACTGTAGTTTTGAGATCTCTCCACAAGTGCTCTATGGGATTGAGATCTGGACTCATTGCTGGCCAGTTAAGTGATCTCCAGCACTTTGAAACCATTTCTGGGTGCTTTTGGACATGTGCTGTGGGTCATTGTCCTGCTGTAAGACCCATGACCTCTGAGGGAGACCCATATTTCTGACACTACATTGCACCCTAGAATTCTGGGTCAAGACATCCAGTGCCTGAAACAGCAAAACAACCCCAAAACATCAGTGAACCTCCACCTTGAGATTGTCCATGGTTTTCCACAATTTTTGTTCTCAAATCCTCAGACAAATCTTTGCTGCTCTTTCTCTTCTCCATGCTCCATGTGCCACAAAGAGACACACAACAGAAAGATTGAGTCAATGTTTCACCATTTTAACTGGCTGCTGGTGTGATTTCTATATTGTCAGCACCTGTTAATTGTTACAGGTGAATTTAATGACGAGTTACAGGAGCATTACAAACTTGGAATGCAATTATTTCTGACAATTCTGAGAAGGTGCCAATAATTGTGTCCAGTCCATTTTAGGGATTTTGAGTAGAATGTGTCAGATTTGTATTTTTGTTTCTCTACTTTTTTGTGTCATACCAATACAAACAAAAGAAATAAACATAAGAATGCCTAAACATTTGTAATTACAACAGTTTTCTGGGTGAAGTGGTGCATTATCTGACAGATATGCAGGGGTGCCAATATTTTTGGCCATGACTATACCTGCTCTGTGCAATGGTATTGCAGAGAGCGACTCTGAACCTCCTCTTCTGGGATCCCCCGCAGGCGATCTTGACTCTTCCTCTTCTATGTCTGCCCCTATAGCAAGCAGTTTGGTATGGTGGCAGATGTGCAGTCGTGCTCTCGAGCTAGGCTGTGTGTGTCCATAAACACACACAGCTCAGTTCTACCGCCCGATTTCTGCTCACAGGATTTGAATGACAGCAGCATTTGCCAATGTCTCCCACTGCTGCCCAATACTCCTGTGAGAATAGAAAGACAGAGGAGAAGAAGTGTAGAGAGGATGGATATAGGACTAGGAAAGTGTTTGGGGGGTGGAGCACAGCAAGTGACAAAATGTTTTTTCCTTAATGCAGGGAAGCACTTAGAACCACTTTAACCCTTTGGCACTGACTGCTTCTCGGCCCTTTAACCACTTGCCGTCCGCCTGCTGTTTATAAATGGCAGGGCGGTGGCAGTCCAGGGGCGGGTTGCCGTTCACAAATGGCACCTGCCTTTTCTAGCTGTGCGCACTCCCTGGGACAGTGAAACACTGATCGTCGGACGGGACCTCTGTACGAGGTCCCGATTATGTGATCACTGATTGGCCAATCAGTGATCACATGCAAAGTAGTAAGCAAGATATCACTTGTGACATCATTGCTTACTATGTGTAAAATCTGTGAATGATCACTGAGGTCACATGGTACAAGGCTATTCACAACAGCCTTGTACCATGTGACAAGCTGTGACCAATCACAGCTCACTCAGTACTTCTCAATGACTGCAAGAATGCAGACAGAGAGACAGAGAAATATTGCTTTTACATCCTATATGGGTGTAAAAGCAATCACTGTAAAAAAAAAAATTAAAAAAAATCTTCATCACCCCCCACAAGTAGTACAGTGTCACCATGCTGACACTGTACTGCTAGGGTGACAGTATGTAAAAAAAAATAAAAATAATAATATTAAAAAATAAAATAAAAATGTAAAAAAAAATGTTTAAAAATTATAATTTTTGGTTATAAACTAATTTGGATTTTTTTTTACTAAAAAAATAACGGAATAAATTTTGGCCAAGATTTATGATGAATTATTATTTATTTGCAAAATTTTATAAAAAACCCCACTTTTTTTCAAAATTTTTGGACATTTTCATTTACATAGCAAAAAAAATAAAAATCCCAGCGGTGAATAAATACCACCAAAATAAAGCTTTATCTGTCTCGAAAAAATGATAAAAAATTCATATGGGTACAGTATTGCATGTCCGGAAAGGAAGTGGTTAAGGGTTCTAAAAGCCGGGAGGAAGAAGTGGGCCTTCGGGTCATGTGACCACTGTGATTGGCTGTCACATGGGTCACATGATCGGAAAGTTCCTGATCACAAGTATGCATCGGAAGCTTACTGATCACCGCTGGCTACCAAGCTGGGACCATGCAGGGAGCACGCTCTCAGCACCATAAGTATATATGCTTGCGGCCGGCAATAACAGGTTAATATGATTTCAGTTTTTTCAATCTGTTTAAATATGCAAATTTGATTTAATTAATAATACACTTGGTGATCCTGTTGTGATGGTTCTTATTTAGGCACATCCTGCTAGAGGGTGACAACAATCTTCAAAATGAACTTATGTATTGTCATGCTGAGACTACAAATGGCTGTGTAACAAACATTGTTCATGCATGCTCCACTCTTGTTACTATAAGTAAACTGGTTCAGTGCAATGATGTGCAGCCAACACTGGAATGAGTGCATGAGGGCAGGAAGCTGATGAAAGAAAATGGAGATTAGTAGCATCAAGATGCCTTTGCACTGCCTGTCTTAACTCCTAAAAGCCCACACCACCTCGCCGTAATCACTGTTTAAATAGCATTTTTCCCCTTTCCTTTCTTCAGTCTGCTGATTAAAGTGAGGAGTTAATTGGTCACAGGTGCTCCAGGTGCTATATAACTTTCTGTGGAGCACACATTTGTGTTTGGCACATTTTGCTGGCTGGAAGAGTGGGAAATTTGAGTGGAGAGTTTTGCTTTTGATTGCTGGTGCTTGTAGTTGTTTTATGTTCTTCTTTGGGGTCTTCCTAGCAGCTTTTACTTTTTTAAATCACTTGTTCTGTCACTTCTTAAATAGCATTTTTTCCCTTTCCTTGTGTTCCTTCAGTTGGCTGATTAAGGGGAGGGGTTAATTGGTCACAGGTGCTACAGGTACTATATAACTTTCTGTAGAGCTCACTCTGAGCTTGCTCGTTCTTGAGCTTGCCTGTATTTTGCTTGCTGGACCATTGATCAAGTGGAGTTAAAAAAACTGAGTTTAAAAACAGGAGATTATAACAAGAGTCAGTGACAACTGATATTTCCTATTAGTAATATTAATATTGTATATGGGATAATGAATTCTAGCGGGTTTGAAGGTTTTGTGCAGTGCACAGTGTGCCACATGTATGCAACAATGGAGAAACAGCTCCAGGCTGGATACCTGTGTGACAGATGTGAGTGGATTGCCCTTCTAGAAGCTCGCACTAGAGATCTGGAGGAGCAAGTTTCAACACTGGGCAGAATTGACAACCTTGAAATGGGACTTCTGCTCTCTGAGCAGATAGCTAATGGGATTGATGTGGAGGGCGGAAAGGCTAATCAGGATGATCAGGTAGGAAGATGGGTTACTGTAGCGAGAGCGAGAGCGAGTGGTAGGGCCTCACAGAAAAGGAAGGCTGGCCCATACTCCCATGGGCAACAAGTTTAAAAGGCTAAAAATCAAACCTATGTGGCTTATGGCCAAAGTTTAAAAAAGCTAAAATAATAAGAATAAAGCTTTTAACAAATATATAAATGAAGGAACATTATCATTGTTTAAACATTACAAAGAATATAACAGAATATGCAAAAAGGAAATAAAAATTGAAAACGAACAACCCAAAAATTCTAAAAATATATTAATAGTAAAAAGGTCAGGTCCAAGCATGTCGGCCCTTTGCAAAATAATTTAGAGATGGTGACTGGGGACAAAGGGAAGGCAAATCTGATTTCTTTTTATGAGGAGGTGAGCAAAACCTTGGACAGATGGGTGGCTGTGGATGTGGTATACTTGGATTTTGCAAAAGCATTTGACACAGTTCCCCACACGGCTAATGTGTAAGGTAAAGTCTACAGGCTTGGAAAAATCTGTATGTAAATGGATAGAAAACTGGCTAAAAGATCGTATTCACAGATGGGGGGACAGTCACAGATGGGGGTGCTGCTTTTGCGTAATGCTGCTATCTCCTCTCCCCTCTACTCTTAACTAGAACAACGCATTGACTCCTGCTTTCACTGGGTAATTCTGCTATCTCCTCTCCACTCCACTCTTAACTAGAACAACGCATTGACTCCTGTTAATTTCAGAACAAATAGTGTATATATATTTTTTGTATATGTTGATTAGTTCTCACCTGTAGTTGCACTCATTTTATGACTGTAGTCTGTGTCTGGTCTGTTTGAGAAACATCCCCCCCTATTCATGTGATCCTTATCAGTTCCTGCTTGGGGCAGAGAAGAGTGCTCATTTGACCATCTCCCTATAAATTTAGATCAGCTCAAGGGGGGAAATCACAGATGGGGGGACAGTCACAGATGGGATGCTGCTTTTGCGTGAGTGCTGCGCTGATGGAGTGCTAAGATGCAGTTAAACACAGCAGTTTAACTAAAATAGGATAACTCAAGCAGCAGGAAGATACAACAACAAGAAACTCTACTGCACGCTGGACAGACTGCAAGCAAACACCCTGGGAAACATCTCTTACAAGTCTGAGTCCCACTCCATGTACCTTTAATATGTCTCCTCCACTCCTCCTTTTCATATTACTTTCCTGCGTTCCCAAAATCTCACTTCTTTATCCCTCTGCTCCTACCCAAAAACTTGTACATTTCACTCTCACTGCTACCATCTCCCTACTACTGCTCCCATCACCTCCTGCTGATACTTCACTCTCCTGCTAACCCAAACACCAGGACTGTAAGGCATGTGCACTCATGTACATCCCGCTTCCATCCAGGGGCGGACTGACAACTCATGGGGCCCCCGGGCAATAGGGGATCATGGTCAGTCCGCCCCTGCTCCCATCTTTCTTTCCTCACCCTTCTTCTTCTCCTAACCTCTGGGGATATCTCCCCAAACCCTGGTCCTCCAGTATTTCACCCCCACACCAGGCATCCTCTTTCTTCCGGGAATAGCCGCAATCCCCTCAATTCAACATCAGTCCTCGTGCTCCCAAAAACCACCCTCCCTTTCTCGTGTGCTCTGGAATGCCCGTTCTGTCTGTAATAAGCTCACCTCTGTCCATGACCTTTGTCTCCTGCTCCCTTAATCTACTAGCTATTACAGAAACCTAGCTCTAAGCAGCAGATTCTGCTTCTCCCGCAGCACTTTCCTATAAAGGCCTCATCTGGACCCACTCACCCAGACCCAGTGGTCGGAAAGGTGGTGGGGTTGGTTTGCTTCTATCCCCACTGAGCACCTTGCAAGTCCTCCCTAACCCTCCCTCTCTATGCTTCTCTTCTTATGAGACTCACTGCATCCGGCTGTTTTCTCCCATTTCTCTGAGGATTGCAGTGATCTATCGGCCTCCTGGACCAGTGTCCCGCTTTCTTGATGATTTCTCCGCCTGGCTACACTACTTTCTCTCCTCTGAACTACCCACTATCATTCTCTGAGATTTTAACATCTCTATTAATGTCAACAACCCGGCTACATCCCAATTCTTCAACCTAACCTCATCTTTTGCATTAGCACAGTGTATACAGTCATCCACTCACTCTGATGGGAATACATTAGACCTTGTTTTCTCCCATCTTTACACTCCCTACAACCTCACAAACACCCCCTTTCCTCTCTCTGATCACAATCTCATCACCTTCACAGTCTCCTCATCTTCAAACACCTATCCCTCCAAGCAGCAAACAATTACCCGCAGAAACCTTCACAACTTGAACCCTGCTCCTTTCCACTCTGCAACTGACCAACTAGATGACAGAATCTCTCCCCTGTCCTGCCCTTACCTGCCCTGGCCACTGCTGTCTACAACAGTTCGCTTTCATCCACATTAGACTCACTTGCTCCTCTAACAACATGAAGCATCAGGCCCCGACCATTACCACCTTGGCAGACTGACGATACCAGAAATCTTAAACGACATAGTCGTGCGCTGTAGCAATTGTGGCGTAAAACCAAATCCCAGCAAGCATTCACCCGATATAAATCTGTTTTCTTAACATACAATTCCTCCCTTCATGCTGCCAAACAAGCCTACTTTGTCTCTCTCATCAATAGCTTGTCATCCAGTCCTCGTCTCTTCTCTACTTTTAACTCTCTGCTTTCTCCACCTCCACCTCCACCCAGTACCTCACTCACTGCTCACGAGATTATAAATCATTTCAAAAACAAGATTGACGCAATTCGTAGGGGCATCGCCACTGCACAGACATCCATCCCACTTAGCATACCTTATACTAAACCTCCCTCAACACATACCCTTTTTTGACCTTGCTACTACCGAAGAGGTCACTAAGGTTTTCTCAGAAGCCCCGTCTCACTACCTGCCCCCTGGATCCTGTCCCCTCACAACTACTACGGTCACCCTCTTCTTCGATCCTATGCTCCCTCACTCACATCTTCAATCTTTCCCTCTCTACTGGTGGCTTCCCCTCCCCTCTAAAGCATGCTCACATCACTCCCATACTTAAAAAGCCTTCCCTGGACACCACCAACCTGAAAAACTTAAGACCCAT